TTCCGCTTCCGTTCTGCCTACGCCGTTGCCACCTCCTATGACGAGTCCATTCAGCAGACTGATTGGCGCACCATTTGGCATTGGGAGGGCCCCACCCGGGCAAAACATTTCCTCTAGCTAGCGACACGAGACAGACTTCTGACTAATGTTGAGCACGGGCGGCGCCACCTGACAACGACCACAACCTGTCCTCGCTGCAAGCAAACTACTGAGACAGTCCTGCATGTGTTGTGGGACTACCCCTTTTCCCGGTTAGTGTGGATGCAGTTAATCCTTCTTTCTGAAAACTAGCGCTTCTTTGGAAGTTCTCATAAGGTTTGGATCCTCAAGAACCTCCGACATCAGCACATCAACCTCGAATTTGGCATTATGTGTTGGACCCTTTGGCGGTCCAGAAACGATATTGTCTTTGCAGGAAAGATCGTCCCACCTGAAGCCTTCATACAGCGGGTCCGAGCTTGGATACCTGTAATGAAGAAAGTTCTGGACCAGGACAGGCTCATCGATAAGCCTAGTCCACCCGCCAGAACGGAGGAGCTGATCCATTGGCAGTCGCCTCCTCCGAGTGGGTTTGCCTCAACTCTGACGACTCTGTTCTCCCTTCATCAGGCCACGCATCAGCTGGTGGTCTAATTTGTGATCATTTAGGACGTTGCTTAGCAGAGTTGGCTATTAACCTAGGTATCTGCTCAATAACCCAGGCTGAGTTGAGAGGGGCTGTTGAAGGCTTACAGGTGGCTTGGGATGCTGGCCATCGCCGACTACATGTTCAACTGGATTCCTAGTGTGCGTTGCAGCTGTTACAAGGCGAGATATCCGAAGACCACCCCTATGCGGCCTGCATTCCCTGTTTTTGAGAACTATGTTCTCGCCCTTGGAGTGTGAAAGTGTCCCATATTTACTGAGAAGGTAATGTTTGTGCTGATTATCTTGCTAGTCAGGGTCTCTCTCTTTCCTTTGGTTTTCATTCGATCCCGAACTCTGATCCTAGGCTATCTCATTGTACTTTGTACGACTACCAGGGGGTTTCCATACCCCGGCTGGTTTTGAGTGAAAGATAGGGTGTCTCTGCCTCCATTACAAAAAAAAAGAAGGAAGGAGGCGCATTAGCGGTTGGGTGAGCACCTCTGTCGTTCCGTCTTCCTAGGAATAGGAATTTTTTAATGAAATAGTGTATGGGCCAAGTTGAGGCCCAAAAATTTTGAGGCTCTATGTTGTGGGTCAAACCAGCACAAAGTATGGGTCGGGCTTGATAATCGCATCCATTATCACCTTTCTCCTCGGTGAGAACTTGGTCCTTAACTAATAGGAATTCCAGTCCCAGGTTGTGCATTGATATCACCTCGCCTTACTTTACCAATCTTGAATTCGCAACACAACTACGTTCCTAAACCCTTAGTTTCTCAACTATGTATAAAAAATATCAAATGATAACTTTTATGGTATGAAAGATCATGCTAGGATGCAACCACAAATCCACAATGTATACTCAACATAATCGTGGCTCTATACCACTCGTTGAGTTTTGGATTAGGTATACTCTAATGACTTTATTAAAATTATTGGACTAAACAAAAACTTTACGAATTTCGCCCATTATTGTGTAATTTACAACACAACCTCACACTGGGGGTGAGCAGTGGACAGTTTTATGCGGATTTGGGTGGGTATGGATCCACCCATTAATTGGCAGATGAAGCAAAAAATGACCCATACCCAAGATATACTTGTGGGTGGATTGGGTTGTGTTGTGTAATTGTCGATGTTGGGCGGGTGGACGAGTTTGGTGGATTTCTAACATACATTTCAAAATATAGTCCACCCACATCCACGCAAATTTTAGCGAGTCACCTATTTTAAAACGCACAAACACTCATATGAACACAATAGGCACCCTATACCTCACAGTTAGGGTAGATAATCGGTGCGATTTTGGTTTAACCGAACTAATCAGTCGGTTAACCGCCACCGATAAGTGGTTGAAACAGGCAACTGAAACCTCCACCGATAGCCTTATCGATTAGCCGCAACAGACAACCGATTATGCCGGTTCAGTTAATCAGTTGCCCGCCCACCCGATAATTAATAATAAAAAATTAAAATTAGCCTTTTTTAATACAACCTCATTCCTTCATCGATTTTTTCCTTCATTCTTCTTCCACATCTAGCCTTCCCATTTCTTCGTGTGAAATCGATCTCTTCGCCTTCTTTCTTCTTCCAGATCTAGCCATGCTTTATCATCCACCCACACATCCTCTGCCATCGTCGAGACTAAAGGAGGCTAGGAGGTGTTGGATCTTATATAGTCGACTCCTTCTGGCTTCCGGTACTCTCACTCTTCGTCGGCCTCTTTCGACAGCGGAACACATGAGGGAGAAGAAGAAAGGAATTGCGCGACATAGAAGGGGTTGAGGCGACGAGGACGAGTAAGGGCTGTGAGGTTGAAGGCCGGAAGGCACCAATTGAGGCGGAGAGAAAGAGGACAGGGGTGGCGAGTTCAGGAGGGAGAGGTCTGGATGATAGATTGTCGCGGCTCGTGAGTCGTGATTGGTGATTGTTTTGAGGGTTGGGTCATGGGTGCGAGGCTTTAAAGACGGTGGGGTGATGAGGGAGAAGGGGGCGACTTGGATCTTCTGGAGTGACGATGGAAGAGTTGGGGAAGGGAGGGGAGCGAAGCGGTTATGCGGTTCACCGCCCTTTCTATCCGTTACAAACTGACAACCGATCGATCACCGACACCCTCTATTTACTCAACCGCGCGATACTGCCAACCGAGCATAAATAGCGGTTATTGGTTAGTCGTTTAACCGACATTTTTTGTTCGATTAGACGGTTAACCGAATAATCGACAACTGATTATCACCCCTACTCACACTACAATTGTGGAATTCTCCACTCTCCAATATCTTTCAACACATCATCATCTCACTTGCTTCCTCTCTCATGTTACCAGTGCCGGAGCTATTCACAGTAGAGGGGGTGCTTGGGGAAAATATCAGCGGGTATGTTGGGTATGAGGCATCAAGGGAGTTCTTGGAATTAATTAATAATTCTCATCGCTCTCCTTGAAGTTGTTGATTATGGTCTATGGACGTGCTAACACATTCTCACACGACAATTCCTTCTCATCACTGAAGTAAATAATGTTATAAAAAAATCATTGAAGCTAAATAATGAAGCATAAACTGTATTATTATCCATTTTATTAGTAACCCAACTACAGGAAAGCACACGCATTGCTAATAACTTTTTTCCCTTTCTCCTCGGTCAGCTACCTGAACATCGCAATTTGTAAACAAACAAGTGGTATGAATCATCAGCCACCACTTTTACCATCTCGGCTGGACGAGGTTTTTGATTCTATACACGTACATCATTTATTTATAACAACGACTAGTCCTTAAAATAAACTTTTTTGTCATTAGTTTAATTCCTATATCTGTGATCTCTACCATTTGATGACAAGTTTTAAAACTTACAAGGAATTGATGAGTTAAAAAAAGATGAAGTAAAGAAGCACAAATTGTATCCATCTATTTAATTTTTTCTCAAGTTGACAATTGACATTCATTCTTTCGATTGCAACAGTTAAGTGTGGAGAGATTATTTTCATTCATAAAATATGAAAAATTATCTTTGCATCCAAATGGACGATAAGTGGTTGAACGACACGTTGGTGACATAAATTGAACAAGATTCGCGTGCTAGTTTGAAAATGAATGTGCTCTCATCGCGGTTCGTTGTAAGCGGTGTACATCAAAATGTTATTATGTAATTGTATAAATTTGTAGTATTATGTTGTTGATTTATTATTTTTTTTAGTCTTGACTTTTGTATTTGATTTTTTATTATATGAAAAAGACACCCATTGGCCAATTTTCTGCATGTCACAACCCTTCTTCTTTCTTCCCTCTTTTGTTTCCTTTCTACATTCCACACTCCAATTACACAAACACGCACCTAGACAAGTCATAATTCACTTACTACTAAAAGAATCTTGGACCATTAATGAACATAGCACCAATTTATGGCTGCTTTAATTTCTTGTAGTTTCTTCTCATTTTGCCGATCACTGCTCTGTGGTTTCTGATCTCTCAACCTCTCAAATAATAAATTGCCCGATCACTAGGGATGGCAAAAATATCCGTAATCGTTGATATCAATCCGGCCTAATCGGGTAGGGTAAAACTCGAACCCGAAGGACATTTAGTGGGTACGGGTAAAACCCGAACCCGAATATTGCGGGTAATGGGTGGGCATGGGTTTCTCAGTATCCAACCCGAACCCGCCGGATTATACACATACATATGTATTTTGTCTAGAAATAATCATTATTTTTCTCTAACATATTTTATATTTAGCATATAAATATAATATTTTCATGAAATTGTGTTGTTGTAATTACTTTTTTTCATTCTAGTGAATTATTGTCATACTTTTCCTCTTGCGTAATGTGAGAATAAGTTTGAATGTTAATATATTAGTTGGAGTTATGAAGAGAAATCATTACCCATGGATAACCGTGGATACCCGAAACCCGAACGGGTATGGCCATGGTTTTAATTTTCTATCCGTTTCATATGTGGGTATGGGTAAAACCCGAACTACTTTGGATAGGGTAACGGATATTCATTATCTGTTCCGGACCCGACCCATTGCCATCCCTACCGATCACTGCTCTAGTTTCTTTTTCATTTTTCTTTTACGTATTGTTACATCATACATCTCAACTACTAACATTATTTTATTAAATATATTTTTAATTCTTGGAGGGGCCAAGGTACGAAAGCAATTAATGAATTCTCAATATTTTTAATTAATCAATCGAAGCCAAAGAAGGCAATCAAGAGAACTGTGTTAGCATTCTTTACGCATCAGATCATACCTTATACAAGCATTTAATAGGTCCATCGAACATTTCCCAACTTCCTAGATCGACGACTCAGAAAAGTGCACTAATTAAGTGCCCCATTATATATGTCATGATAATGATAGCGTAGCGATCGAGGGTGTGAAAAAAGGACAGTTATAATTAACGGGCCAACTCAACTCATATTGGAGCATCCGGGTCAACGGTTCTCCACATGGACCTTTTCGTATTCTATTGCTCAACCAATTTTCAGGATCTTGTCTGCTTCCAGTTTGATGATATATACATACACAAAAACACACATAGCTAGCGAGTAACCAAGCCGCCACAACCACACACGTCTCTTAATTATCAGTCATGAAAGGCGCTTCCATCCTGAGGCTACAAGACAAGGTCGCCCTCATAACCGGCGGCGCCAGCGGGATCGGAGCCGCCGCCGCCCGCCTCTTCTCCAGACACGGCGCAAAGGTCCTCGTCGCCGACATCAACCCGGCCGAATCCGGCGACGCGATTTCCTACATCCGCTGCGACGTCACGAGCGAGTCCGACGTCCGGAACGCCGTCGACGCGGCGGTGTCGGAGCACGGCAGGCTGGACATAATGTTCAGCAACGCCGGCATCATGGAGCACCAAGCCCCGGCGATCTCGTCCTTCGACCGCGCCACATACGACGCCGTTTTCGGGGTGAACGTGTACGGCGCGTTCCTGGCGGCGAAGCACGCGGCGAGGGTGATGGTACCCGCGGGGAAAGGGTCCATCGTTTTCACGGCGAGTAGCGTCACGCGCAGCTACGGGCAGGGGCCGCACGCGTACACCGCCTCGAAGCATGCGGTGGTGGGCCTGACGAAGAACCTGGCCGTGGAGTTGGGCCCGCACGGGGTTCGGGTGAATTGCGTGTCGCCGTTCGGGGTGGCGACTCCGTTGGCGATTGGCGAGTCCGGGTTGGACGGGGATGGGTTTCGGGAGGTGATTGCTGGGATGGCCAACTTGAAAGGGACGTTTCTGGAGGCGGAGGATGTGGCGGAGGCGGCGGTGTATTTGGGGAGCGACGAGTCCAAGTACGTTAGTGGGTTGAATCTCGTTGTCGACGGGGCATACAGTTTGAAGAGTGCATCTTGATGCTATCCATTGTTGAATTATTGACTTTATGGGCTCACGTCCAAAGCCTGGATGGGCTTGCATTCCCACTCTACGCAGTCACTTCAGTATATCATTTTCTCTTTGCAAAGCTCATGACTCATGCCTATTGCCTTGTACACTTCCCATTTTGTCAAGCCAAGCCATACTTGTTTAAGCTGCGTGTACTTGGAAATTAGAACATATTATCAAGCACATTATATTGATTTTTCCTACTTAATGTATACCAATTGTAACTACTTACTAGCATTCATGCCCAACTTGTTGGTCCGTTCCATATTTAAATAATTTTCACAAATAAGCATAAATTATTATCGTCTATCAATTAATCACACACCAATGTTTAAATAACTGTTTTTTTATTTTTAGATTTTCACCATCACTCCTTTAGAAAAAAAATTCATGCTTCTTCTCTCTACACAATCATACTTTATTGACACTGATTCCACTCTTTTCCCTATTATAATTTACTTACTCTTTTCTATCATTAGTGGTATCAACACCATGCATGATGCTTCAACTTTGTTTTTTTTTATAAAGGTGATATAAATTTTATTTTTTTGTCATTAAGGTACTATATTTAAAAAATTTAAACCTGGGATCTCCAATTCTAGACTAGTGGTATTACCACTAGACCAAGTCCTTGTTCGTATGGTGCTTCAACTTTGTTGGCAATACAAAAAGACAAATCAATGTCTAGAGACAAACAAACAAAAATTTATTGAGGGAACAAAATAAACCTATTGCGGCTAATTGTAACTCATTAAGTGAACCCTACATCGACAAAGTATCGGGAGAGATCCATGATTCATAACTAAAAAACTGGCTTTAACTAACAAGATGTGTTTTGGAGTGAAATGAAGGAGTGCTTGTGAGAACTCTGCAGTTATAGTTGCTCAGTGTAGAGCACTGCAAGGATGAATGACCTTATGTGAAGTTACCTTGATATGCACTCCCAGTCGAAATTCGTGAGATTCTTAGCCCAAAGCGGACAATATCTTATTAGGTGTTCAGGATGTTACTCTAATGGTTATTAGCCTTTCATGTACAAAGGAAGAAAAAAAAATTTTGAGCTTCAATCATAATGATATTAATTTTAAGAAATTGGACTACGGTTCGAGACATTAATTTATAAAACAAATCTTTATTTAAAAACACACACCCATAAAAAGACACTTTATTCCTAAATCCTAATCAACATCATTTCTTTCACCGAATTCCTAATCAACATCATTAATTTTGTTTTATGTTTCAGCGGGATTGGGATGTGGTTTAAAATGTCGATTGCTACATGATCATGAAAGTGAAATGTGGCATATTGGAAGTAAAAATAATCGGGTAGAGATCAACAATATCTAATTCTTATGCTTTTGTAAAGATTATTTTATTTCTGTTTTTTACTATATGGCAACTCCATTTATTTGCAGATAAATAAGAGAGAAGAGTGTCTCATTCTGAAAATAGACCTGATGAAGGCCTCTGATTCAATTGATTGGGGTTTCATTTTGTGTGTTTTCTCTGCCATGGGGTTTCATAGTCTCTTCATTGAATGGATTCGGATGTGCATAACTACTCCTATGTTTGACTGTTAAATAAGGCTGCTAGGAACGACCATCTTCCCTACCATCCTATGTGTACACTATAAACAGGTGCATCTGACACATCTCTGCTTCACGAATGATGTACTTATTTTCACGGATGGGTCCAATATGAGTTTGCAGTATGTTTAGCGAGTTCTAGGGAAATTTAAGCAACTTTTGGGATTAGGTTTTATCCCTAGGAAATGCGAGTTGTTTTGTGTTGGTCTCACTGTGGACCAAAAGAATAGGATGGCTAAGAGGTCATGGTTCAAACTGGGTGTGTTTTGTGTGAGGTACCTAGGGGTTCTTTTCACCGGGGCATAGGAGCAGAGGGTAAGGTGAAAGGCTATAGTGTGGCGAGGAATCAGGTAACATTCCCCGAAAGGCCAAAACGGAGGGAGAGCTTGGTATAACGGATTTTTGTTCTTGGAATATAGCTTGTGTATCTCGACATATTTGGTCTATCCTAATGCAGCATGGCTCGTTGTGGATTGCCTGGCTACTGAAGTATAAGCTTAAGAGTCGATCTTTTTGGCAATATCAGACTTCCTCTGGATCCTGGTGCTGGAAACGACTCTTGAAGATACGCCCTATGGTTCAACAGTATTTCTCTTTGAGGGATGAAACTGTTTTATGGCAAGGAGAGGAAATGACTAAGTTCTCTGTGAAGAAAGTCTGGTTAATGTTGTTTGGAAGGGTAAAATGGTTGGGATACCATTAAACTTTGACAAATGGGGGAAGGATACCACTTAAATGAAAATTGTGTATCGGGTATCAGCACCAAGACGAAGCCGTACCTCTCCACGCTGAGCATCTCCTACAAATTATCTCACCAATCACCACCACCCAATCATTGCACGCATCAACAATGACAGCTAGCTTTGGCTGCTGCTCGCACTCCATCCTCATCGACAATGTCGCCGCTGCTTTTCCTCCGCTTCCCCACCCAATTCAGCGATGAAATCATCATCGAGTTCCGGAAAGCCCTAGATAAGGGGAAGAGCGAAGGGAGGAAGATGAGAATAGCAGTAATCGACCTCGATATCGATCGTATTCATCTCGGTGAAAGAATTGGTCAAAATTTGCTTAGAAGAAGGTGTTTTCATCGATGATGCCCACATAAGCGGCTGCATGAACGTTGACATCCAGGAAACCGGAGCCTGTTTCTACACCAGCAACCTCCACCTTGAAAGATGTAGGTAAGCTTATATGGTATGCACTTCTAAGTAAAATCTGGAGGGACGTTGTAGGCAGATTTATGCGGGTGAAAAGACGCATAGTTAGGTGTTGTGCAAGGTGATAAGGAATCAAGTTAGTGTGCTGATTGATGACACGTTAGAGACAATTTTTGGTAGTGTTTTTGCTTGTTTGGTTAATTTAGCCCAGGGTTTCATAGTAGTCATAAACCATATGTATAGTTCATAATTACCAAGAGTTGTTGTCAACAATCCTTCTTTGATGATATAACATAAACCGATTCATGAAAAAAAGTTCTCATTCTTGCTAGCTCGAATTCTCAATTTTATCGAGTTCGACATAGCATATGAATTTGGAACAAAAGTTGTGAAGTTCAATGGCCAATATTGAGGAAAGTTGCGTCCAAAGTTTCCATCATCTAGCAGTATGGTTGTGTCTTAAACCGTTGATGCTCAACAAGAGATTCCGTCTTTGTGTCTTTCGAAAATGTTGAAATGCCTAAATTTGGAGGCTTGCGCACTTGTACTCTAGGCCAGCTTGGTGGTCAAGGTCAATTTTGGACATTCAACATGGACAATAACACGGACTATAAATGTGTTGACTTTTGAGCCATTCTTTGAGGAACTTTTTGCCACATATCCCAACACTAGAAAAATGCGTTTGACTATTCGAGAGAAGATTAAAGGGTTGTTTGTATGAGAAATTGTTAGTAACGGAACAACAACAAGAACGAGATTAATGAATCTGGAGCTGAGTCGCGGATTAGGTCGCTATCAACCGGTCGTCTTTAGGATAAAACAGCTGCTCTGTACTCGCGATTTTGTGCAAAAATCGGAGCTCTCTCAACACTCTCTCTATTGTGTTTATGCTCGTTGTGGTGTGTTTAGAGGGGCTGGGGAGGCGGCTATTTATAGGAGCCGAACCCCTGCATCTGAAAATTTAAATAGGAAGCTAGACAGTTAAATGGAGCGCTAGTGAAGGGCAGCCAGAGATACGTGGAAGAGTTGGGTAGGAAAATCACTTTTTGCTTGAGAAGTTCCTCAACTACACTTCCAATCATAACCCTCAATCCAATATTAAGTTAGTATATGTTGTTGTGACTTGAATTATAATCGTAACCAATAATCTATACCCTATACTTTAACCCTATATCATAAACCATAAAGTCCTACCATATACTCGAAAACCTTTAATTTTGAACTGCCAAGCCAAAATTAACTTATGGGTCGTTTAGTAGTTATGATTGTTAGAGTTGTGTTTATTGATACATGCATTGTACATAATACAATGTTTTGAAATGCCAAAGTTTAAAACAATGCATGTATTGTTTTAGGTAGGTCCCACCAACAATCACAAAAAATGATGCATTATACAATCTCAACTAAAACTTGAGATTGTTGATTTTAGATTTGTGTCCACTTTTTCTTTGCATTTCTATCCCTATTAATTTTTGTCTTATACTAAAAGTTGAGGGTAAATTTGACATTTTCCCATAAAGTAACTTTATGCAAGTCAATACACCTAGTAGAATCTCATTAACCAAACAATGTATTATTGAAATGAATTCATTGTACCAATACATGTATTTACATTATTGTTATTCATTATAATGCAATGATTTAACATTCGCAACTTCCAAATGGCCCTTTAGTACAAAAATAATGTCTATAGCGACATTGCTTTTTGTGACAATTTTTATAAATGTCGGCAAAACCATCACTTTTGTCGTATACAAGTGTGACAAAAATATTAGTTCTGCTCTGACGTTTGGAAAATTATCTCAAAATAAGTTGAAAATAAAATATGTTCCTCCAACATTTAGAAAAGTGTCAGAATAATATATTTACACTAACATTTCCTATTGACAACATTTGTCAGGATTGCATACACCCCAAAAAAATGACTTTTTATTTTTTTATCAGGGGATTTTAATCATGGTTATTTGTCTATTAGAATTGATAATTAATTTATTAAAGTAGATAAATTATTTTGGTTAAAAAATAGGATTTGAGATGTACTTTTGAAGCGAGTCATTCCATACGTGTTTTTACTCAGTTGATTTGGTTGTTTGACATGTAGCTTCGTCTTTAGAGCTATTTTATGCTAGTTTTGGAAAGTTTTTGTATGTTTCAGGCCATAGCATTTGAAATGTGCGAAAGGACTGAAAGCCGGATGTAAGGGATACAAAACGAAGGAAACATGGCAGCAGATTGTGAAGTTTACAAAGGGGCAGTGAAGCTCGCAAGTTTCCAAGAGCTTATGTCTGTCTTGTAGGCAATGCAAGGAGCACAGTTCCAGACAGTGAAGTCAACATGGAAATCGTGAAATGTGTTAATGAAATAACGCTTTTTTTTTTTCATGAGATAAAGGTTTTGTTGCACACTTGATAGGAGTGATGTGCAAATGTGAAATGTGCATAGTCATGTTATATATAGGAGGAGATCAAATTTTGAAGGGGAGGAGAATTTAGAGTGACATTGAATTTATTGTTCCTCCACCTAGAGAGAGAAATCTATGAACAAGGGAGATTTGAAGATGG